TTGATCCAAGTTTTATAACTGTGATATTAGGGACCTCAAGTGAATTTTAAGTTAGCTTATGTGAAAAACTAGTTCCTTCAATTGAATAATACATTCCCAATCTTGAGGACGAAAGTAAAACTACATGAACGAAATTGCATATAGTTTAACAGAATCATGCTTGGTGTATATCTTGATTTATTCCCTTTTTTATATTGAACCAAATAGAGAATGAAAATAAAATTTAATTTCTATTAAATTAAAATTATGTGGAACACATTCAGCTGTTCATATTAAACCCCTATTTGATGCACATTTTGGGTAGAAGAATGCATTTTGTTGATGCGATGGATGTAGAATATGTGGTTGAAAAAAAGGAAAAGTTATTGATGTAATGAAAAATTTATTTTATTGAAAAATGTGTGGTTGAAAATGAGTAGAAGAATGATAATGAAAATATTAATGTAGACCAAACAAGGGCTAGATAGACTCTTTAAATTAACATTTTAATTTATAGAGTGATTTTGACTCTTAAAATTTAGAGAGTCGAACCCAACCTTTATAATTAAGTCCCTGTTTGGTAACCATTATTTCAAAAATCTTTATTGTACATACTCATTTTCAATCACAATCACATAATAAAATATTCTATATGTAAATCCAAAATTTTTTCGTACTTTTTAATTACATTTTCCAAAAAATCACTATTCAAAACATTATTTTTCCCAAATAATTTCTATCAATAGGGGCCCAAATGCATTTAAGCTCTTATTTGACACCCTTTAATTTATTTCAATTTTTGCTACGTGATCATTTTTAATCACATTCACATGATAAAATATTCTACACATAAATTTAAAATTTTTTTCCAATTTTTAACCATATATTCTCCTAAAAATATTATTCAAAATTCTTTTCTTTTTGGGTAATCAAGTAGGGGGCTAAAGTATTTCAATTTTCGATGGAGAAAAATAATATAATAATTTAGAAGAAAACTAGTGAAAATAAAATATAAGTAAAAATAATAAATATTTTTTGAGAATTGAGAAATTAAATTTTAAATATAAAGAACTTGTTGGAGTAATTCAAATTTTTATTCTCTAAATTTATATATGCTATCTAGATTATAGATCATGCTCTTTAAAAATTGAGTATCTTGGAGATGCGTGCATCAATTTTAAATTTGTGTACTTCTTAGATTCTTAATTTAATCGACTTGCTTGTTTTCTGATAATATAGTAAAAATTGCTTATTTCACATTTGTACTAGGCATAAATTTAACCTTGGTTAAATAATAAAATGTAAAGAACATGCAAAGATTTGAGCTATCCATCTTAATAAGTTTGACATTTTAAGATGAAATCTCAAGTCTTAATTTGGCATTAGAGTCCTTTAAACTCAAACGAACAATTTGGTCAATCTAAAACTCAAAACGAGCATTCGGATTCCAAGATTAAAGTATTCAAAACAAGTCATCATCTTGCGATAGACAAAGTTTACGCATGATTAGATTGTAGAATAAGACTACTTATACATTCAAATGTGTACATTGGGGTTGACACTTCTTATCTGTAAAAAATCTAACCATTAATTGGAAAAAAAAATGTTTTTTAATCAATGTACACAAATCGGTCAACACATAAAAATGTAAATCAAAGTATACATATAGCATGGCTCTTGTATTACTTTCTTGATAATGATTCTTGTGATAATATAAGATCTATTGGCAAAAAAAAATTCATTGGTGGTTGGCAAACTCGTAAGAAATGCCATTTGTTAGCCAGGGACATGAGATTTTGTCAACATTTTTTTTTTTTTGGTGTGTTTTTTATCGGTGGTGATGAGATTTTAGTTTGTGTGTATGTTTGTGTGTGTATATGTATGTGTGTATGTGTGTGTGAGAGAGACACGTGACATTATGTCCAATGATGAAGTATCATGTGACATTATGACAATCATTATGTTAAAAACTGTCACTGTAACAAAATTCTTAAGATGATGATGAGATTCTAATTATTGTATGTTAATTGACTTTTTTAAGTATATTTTTTTAAAAAAATCTGTAAGTACATGAATTCTTTCACAGAATCCCTACAGGTGCTGGCTGCACCTGATTTGTAGACAGTTTTTTTTTTTATTATTATTATTTTTTTTTATCTATCAATAAATCTGTGCCATGTGGGATCCTGTCAAAAACTCAAAATTCTGCGAAAATTACCTTGTACCTGTAGCATTACCTTCTTTTTTTTTACTATTCGCGGAATCGTTGACTAGGATGACAAGGATTATTCTAAATGGACGGGGCCTACGTGGCCCCGCCCGTGTAGCAAATCCTGACAAGGAAATGTAGGATAATCACATAATCTGTGACTAGAAACGACCCCATGCAAGTAGTGTGTCTAGGTCGAAGCTAGCCATTTAGGACGAGCAAATGACAGATAACTAGATGATCCATGATACAAGGAATTGTACATTTCACTTTCAAACATCGTTGAGTTCATGCATTGGTATCATCCGAAAGAACACAAAAATAAGTAGTGTGTGTAGAGATTGAAACTTGCCAACTAGACTTTGATATTAATGTTATACAGAGGTCATATCATAATGCCAAATCCAATTATTCTCCCTTGTTATTAGGTCACACAGCTACATATAAGATATAGTGACTCCAATTTTAGTCCATGATGTGTGTTGTGAGGTGGAGGTTCCCCTGTAGTGTTTAGAGACTAGCTATGGCTACTACTCAAATTCGGTAGAGAAATATCAGTTGTTCAAGAGTACACCAGACATCGACATATGTAGTTTTACATCAATTCCCACTTTTACGAATTTATTGTCTCTAGAATTTCAGCAAGCAACATCCAAGTTGGCTATCCAGACTTTCTTGCGTAGAGGTCAATACTGCCTATTTGAAGCTGTGAAGTTGCTTTTGCATCTCGAACTACTAGAAACCTAAACCTGTTGTTATATAGTCAAAAACACAAATCACTAATGTAGAGCTTATAGACAGAAATGAAATTGCATGCATTGAATGAATCGGAGAAGGTACAGAAATTCATGCAAGTTCCGGAGTGAACTTTTACCTGAAGGCATTTGCTAACAATTTGTGTGATTTGACTTCAAATGTTTTTCGCTGGAAGCGTGTATCAAACGTCTGAGAAATTTGTTTGTCCAAAATGTGCCAACTGGAGCCTCCATCGTCACTTCCTTCAACGACCCTAAAAGCATAGTACAACTCAGCACTTTTTAGCCTTCTACCAAAGATCTCCAACAGAGAACAGGAAAATGGAGATAAAAGAAAACAGAGCAATTTTCTTCAATATCATAAATCTAATAAGCAATGAAAAATGAAGGACCAGCATAATCACGGAAGCACTAGTGATGACAACTGACCAAAGATTTACATCAATGATGGCGAAGAGCATTACAAAGGATCGAGAACCGGGACTATACTATGTTGGACTAAGGTGTATTGTTAGTATACTATGTTTGGGGGGACGCGTATTAGAAAAATGTACAAGTATTTAAAACTAAAAACTTATAACAATGTTTTTGGCTAAGCTTAAAAAAGGAGAAGTTGCTTTTAATTAAATTTTTGCCTAACATGTATGGATACTCTTACCAAATATAAGTAATTTAGTCATTTTCAACTCGTCCAAAGACACAGGCTAGACAATCCAATCCTGGAAACATTTGAAGCTCCATTGCAAGATATAATTTTTAAAACAGAATCAAAAATGTCAACTAATCTAATTGCACAGGGTAAACACAGGATGTTTAATAGAGTTGGAGCTTCCATAAACCGCTGATGAACAATAAATAATATATTAAATCGTAAGGAACTATAAGAAAGTTAGAAAGACATAACTACCCACCCCCCACGTTCCCGTGTCCTTCTCAACCTCTTTGTCATGCAAGCTAAGCATATTAATCATAAACTTGAAGCAGAATTGAATAGAATAAACTCCATAAGAAAATGAGTAGCCCGTAAACTGAATCATATGATTCTGGGAAAAAGAGTAGCGTTGATAAGCTTTACGCTGCCTTGTTCAATTGCAGTATCAGATCATGACATCTCATTTTCAGCGTATCACCCAAATGCAAAATAGAATAAAATGGAAGATATGTTTAGCAGTCGAGTTAGTCCATAATACCAGAATACACAAGCCCCAAATGAGCAGAACGTCAGAAAATACAGACTTTATTAGTGGCCTTAGTCAAACAACAGATGCGGCGACAAGTAGGCTAATATACACATGTAAGAAGGTGTAACTCTCTGTATACTTGTAACAAATTGTTCAGAAGTACAAAAATTTCATACCAGTCCATAGGATCTGCCTCTGGAGCATCATTGGCTGACATCAATTCATATGCCACTAGCTCATGCATCTGGTTATCAATTAACTTATATATGATCCAGCAACCTATAAGACAACACTTCATTATTATTTAACACGTAGATAGGTCAATTGAATAAAGGAAAATATTATATGCAATCTGACATTTAGTAAATCTGTGCATCATTTTCTTTGTTTTTGATTCGATTTCGGGGGAAAAGAAATGCTCGAAATGATTTATACTTATACTTTATTAAAGGATAATTTGGACAAATTATGTCAGAGAAATTCTTATAGTGAAAAATGAACATTATTATAAAGGGATTACATATTTATTATAGGATGAGTTTTAGAACATTTTCCTAAAAACAAATCATAAGTAGGCTGGAAACTTGAGAGAATAGATTCAGGTAGCTAAGTTCAACATGGTCCTCCGTGAACACAGGAAATACTCATAGTCCTTGCAAAGTTGCAACTAGCTTATTGTTTCTTTCGAGCCAATGGTAATCCTATCTTTACCATCTTTGTTACAAATTCAAACATGGTAAGTTTACTAAAACTTAATTGAAACTTCAGCGGATTCATCGACCCCATCATGGAGATACTTGAGCCCTTCACTAGCAAGTTGTAGATGCAATTCAACAAGAATTATCATGAACTAATTACGTGGAGCCTCCGTAACCTTATTTACATTCCTATAGTTCAATGGATGAGATGTACGATGGAAGACAATAGTAGAGAAACTTCCCCTTATTTTGTTTGCCATGTATAAGAAATATATACCTAATGTTTGCAATCCTAATGTTCGATTAAATCATAATATTTTCCTATTTAATTTTTATATTTTCCTTTTACATGAAAATACTAGTTGATTCTTACCCAAAAACCAAAGGGAAAAAAATAAAAAATAAAAAACATTAGCCAAGCAAGTTTAGAGTACAAGTTATCCAGCATCATAAAGATATGGAAAGAAAACACAGTCAATTACGGTTAAGTTCTTTACAGCCTCGAGAAAAATCAGAGGGGGGCATCTTCAAATACCTGTTGCACCATTTGGTTCTTTCCACTTTGACATTCGAGTTCCATCAAATGCAGATGTGACCTGATAGATTGCCAACAATGAAAAGTTAGTTTAAAATGTAAAAGAAATATACCATTACGATAAGGATTTATAGAAGAGCTCTTATATATCTAGGTTGTGCAATAAATTAACGCATATAGCACAACTTAAAGCTAACTTACAATTCCAAAAGGAAGCTCCTCCCCACTTGCAAGGACAAAACCAGAACATATTCTATTCAACTTCAGAAGAGGCCAAGATAGAGACTCTTTAGTCAACTTCCCACAAGTATTAATATTATAAATTAAATCATCGAGGGCATGAAACACAACTGGCAGAGCAACAGACGTTTTTACAGGATCAGAAGCCAAACAAATTTCAGTTATCCCCTTGACACCCGACTCCCTCTTCAGCGAAAGGGCATCCAACAATTGAGCAAAAAGGGGAAGCATCTCAATAAACAATCGAGCACCATTTGATACAGCATTTATAGTAGTTCTCCTTCTTTTGAAAGGGGAATTCTTGAGATTAACCAAAATCCTTTTGAAACTTTCTATGAGTTCAATAGCTCTAGATTTATCCAAAGATTTCTCTATTAATTCACAAACGACTGGAAAAAATGCATTGTATATCTCTGTCACATGCTCGTCTACACATCTACGAACTGGACAAGATGAACTCAAAGCGTATTGGTCATCAGAGACAAATTCAGATCTTGATATGCGCCATTCTCTGTCCCCACTTTGTCTTCCGGGTAAAGAGATTGAAGTATCATCTTTAGAAAACAAGCTCCTCTCAAGTTCTTCTGTTTCACTCCTATCACGTTTATCAAGATTTATAAGCATCTCAGGCATGATGTTTTTACGACATTCTCTTGTGATATTGAAGATAATAGCTGCAAGAGTAGATTCTGTAGTCATGACTCTTCTAGACAGAACCTGCAAACAAACGTCTCTAATGTCAGAGTTTGACATAGCCTGTCTACACAAGTATCTGGAGAAGATAAAATATTCAATTTAGAAAAGGAAAACAGAAGATCGGTACATCATGCCACTTCCTTGTATAACGCTTAGTGACATCATAGACTCCATCTTTGGCTATAGCAATTACGTAGTCCAACTTCTTATTCCAGCTTCAAGGAAAAGTGAAAACGTTCAAAATCATTGCAGTGACAATAGAATCCATGATAAATTATCAGGTACCAAGATCTATACAGCATGGATATCACAAACCAAGATCATAAAGATTGCAATAAAATTAAGAGAAGTACCCCTTCTCATATAACAGTGGATTGTCAAATATTCCCTCACAGGGATCAAGATGCATCCATCTGCAAATTATAGCTCAATGAGTAAGGTTCCTGCCTTCCTGGACGTTTGTATTGAATGTAATAGGTAACAGCAATTTGGACAAAAACTTTACCTTCCTAAATATGACGAGAAGCATTCTGTCCAAACATGATCAGTGAAATCCAAGATCTGGGAAGGAAAACGATTGAGACAACAGATAAGTATTAAAAAAAATAAAAATGAAGCATATCTCTTATAAGCCTAAAAGAGTCTCATATCTAAGGAATTGTACAAGTTCAATAAAATCAACCCTTTCTATTGATCTTTATGGAATAAATAACTTGAAATGCCATTAGCCAGATGATACAAATAAATGAAGTTCAAGGCCTATTATGAGAAACACCAATAGTCTAATAATCTAAAAGTAGTCATTAGTATACAACGGCTGCAAGACTGCAGATGATAGAAGGTTGGCATGATAACTGGGGTTACAAAGAAAAATCAAGGAGTTAGATAAATGCATAGTGACATCTAAGAAATTATCAGACTGGAAACCAATTTTTGATGCCAGGTTTTTGATTCTATGAATTTGGAAGGCAACAAATATCTCTCTCCCCCTTTCTCCTGCCATGGTGCTTGTGGTGGATGAAGAAAAGAAATGACTACAACAATGAGCAAATGCATAAATGATCGGTAGCACTCAGCTAAGAACCATGGTCACTAGGTCTTAAACCAGAAACCGCTTGACAGAATTATCATCCAGTTTCGATTTAGAACAAGGGACACCGAACACTTGGAGTGTTTTTAGGTGAAAATGAAATCTAGTACGAAAAATTGCAAGAGAAGAAAATAATACAAAAGAGAAAAGAAAGCCGAAAAAGGAAGAAACGTTGTCAAAACTCAAAAGCAACTTAAATATTACATTTCCTTCCTAGAGCCCCAGAATTACTTTCACCCTTTACAAAGCTTTCCAATCCCCTCATATTTCAACTAGGGTGACTATGCCAAAACAACTTATTAAAGATAAAAAAGTAATGAATAGTGAGAAAATGAATGAATGTGGGCTATTTCTATCAATTTGAAGTATAATTGAAAACTATCAGATTGTTCACAATCCCAAGGGAACTTGAGCTTGAATTAATCCGTCTGAGATGGGATAGTTTCACGTGACTGATGGTAATGTCGCAATCCTAACTCGGCCTAGTACAATAGGATAAGTAATTTAGATACGCATGCTTGAGTGAAAATGAGTGGTACTATCTAGGTCAGATGTGTAGCATACAGATTGTTAAGAAATGAAAGAGAGAATGTAAAATGATGATCACATGAAAAAGTTGAATGTGAGTTAAGATTAATCAATTAAGAAATTTTGAAACAAGTGATATGAACCAATCATCATTAAAGATGCATGGATGTCCACATAAAAATGATCAAGAAAAAATTGGGTTGGAGAAAAATTCATAAAAAATGATAATTCCTCTCTTTGCAGTCTATGGGCTTAACAGCACAATACAAGGAACCACAGGGAAATTAGCTTTGAAATTATATCACCACTTATTTTCTCTAGCTTCATGTGAAGAAACTCTGTGTAACTAAGCATCCTTTCACCCTCTCAAAGATGTGTCCTCTAAAATAAAATATCTTTGATTTCATGGGAGCTCTTCAGTCCCTGCCTCTATTGATAAAATTTGTTAAGATAATAGAAAGTATAATTAGTCAATTTCAAGAATTAACAGAAACCAGGAGGCGGGAAATCTACTAAATAAAATGGGCTTACATTCTTTTAGCTTCTTAAACATAGACACACAAATTACTCAATTGAGAACTCTGTATAAAAGCATTAAGAACAACGTAAGAATTGGTAGGACACCTTTCACAAGGTGCATAAAAATATCATAGCAAAATGACACGACAAATTCTCATGTTGCAATGGTTTGAGTTTAGTAGGGTACCATCATCGAAATTATTGAGTACCGAGTTTTTAATGTACTCTCTTTGAGATCTCTCAAGCCAATTGTATTGGAAACTTCTTTACAATTATAACTGTCCTACAAGGATGATGAATGCATGCAACCAAAAACAAATGTGATTAATGCACGGAGCCAAAACAAATGTGATTAATGTATGGAACCAAAACGAATCGCTGAAAGTTTACATCTATTCCTTCATTTTTTTTGCCTGTGCTTGGAAGAGCACTAGCAAATCAGTTGAAGTAGATTCTTCTTTTTGATNGGGCGTAAAGCGTCTGTAGGTGGCTTTTTAAGTCCGCCGTCAAATCCCAGGGCTCAACCCTGGACAGGCGGTGGAAACTACCCAGCTGGAGTACGGTAGGGGCAGAGGTTTGGAAGTTTAGCTGGACAAATCAATCAGAGTTTCTACTTCCTATTTCGTACTCCATTATTTTTTAGTTCTATACTTTTTGCTATAATTTTGGTGTAAATAGGATGGCGCTACGAAGTCCATAAATACGTAAACAAGGCAAGACTTCTCCATATTAATGGGCGCCAAGGCACTAAAATTTTACCTTTTACACAAAAGAATCATCCATATTCTATGTAAATGAATTGTACATAGTCCCTTATCCATAATTAGCCAAAAAATTGTCCTTGTTTTCGATGCGGGGACATTTAAACCTCACCAAAATCTCATACTTGTAAAAGTGAGAATTATCTATACACAAGTCTCATGAAAAGTCGACAAGGAAAAGTGGATTAAGTTTCATTTCAAATGAAACTCACCAACCGAGATTCATAGCCAAAGGCTCGACAATAGAGGGTGAAGCAATTAGCCCACTCCCCGCAGCGTCCCTTCCTTGTTTCCAAAAGCTGTAAAAGAAAAAAATAGTCAACAAACTAGTAAAACAAAAAAAAAACCCAGACGCAAAAACTTAGTACCTTCATTGGGTCATTGTATCTTGGGAAGCGAGTTACATTTGAGCATAACTTGCAGCTACAGTAATCAAAAAGAGAAATTAAGGACATAATTCAGTAAAATATAAAATATTTTCAATTCATTTAGAATAGATATAAGGGGAACTCCAAATGAAAATAAATAAATAAAAGAAACCTCCCTACTTGTCAAGAGTCACAAAGGAGATCTATTCTTTGCATATGTGAAAGTGAAGAGCGGAAGGTGAAAAAATCGAGAAGAAAACATTTTAATATATCACATCTGGTCTAAGTATATTTTAGTTCCCATTGGTGAATTTTTCATATTGGTCGACATCTATAAATCAGAGAAGACATGCTACGTAAATGGTTAGCAGATATGTCTTCCAATAATGGAAAGAGAAAGGTTTCCAAGTGCACTGAACAGTCCAGTTACTAACTTTAGGTATAGCTGCAAAATTTTACCTTCAAAAAGTAATTTCTTTCCATTCTCAAGGATGATACCCAACAAATGTCTGCGCATCCATTCTTAGTTAAATTAGACCTTAACTTATGCACTAAGACTGGCAAAAATTTAATTTAGTTATTCGGGGTTCAACATAAGGACGAAGAAAGCTTCGCAATAAAATTCATGCCATCTAACAAACTCCAAGCTATACTAATTTAGCTTCATAAAAATGGAAGGAAAAATCACATCATTGGATTGTTGCAGATTCTAAATTCAGTGACAAATAAAGCATGCATACAGCTGAAAGATAAGAATTGAATGACAAAACTTCCACTGAAAATGTATTTCTGTTACCGATAAAGTTCAATTCGAGAAGCTCCGTAAAGTGATTCTGATGGATTAGCTATTCCCATCCCTTGACTTACTGTCTCATTGTTGCAACTGTCGCAAGGAGGAGCATTTACCCACCTACAGCCGTTAAAGTTGCATTATACATGGATTCTTGCTGGTAAGCATTGTATTCTTGGAGAAGATACAGTTACGAAGACTCCACTTGTCATTAGGGAAAAAGTAGATGAACATACAAAACACAGAAACGTAAGGAATAAACAATTACCTAGCATGTGACTCAAATCCACTATTATTATATTATGCCAAAATCCAAATACAATACCATTCCTAATCCAACTTTCAGTTACTGGCATTGCCATTTCTATAACTGATCTCAATTTATAGTTAAGATCCAAATAGGCAGAAGCTCATACAATAAGGTAAAGAGTATGTATAGAGTCACCCTCAGCATTTCTAGGAGAACTATGGTCCAGCCAAAGCCAATTCGGAAATTCCCAAGGCTTCTAACCAGCAGGTGGTTTCCAATTTTTCTATCTTCTTACTTCACTATTTCTTGTCATAGATTGGACAACCACCAACATCAACTTTCAGGTGAAATAGCTACCTATTACTCACCCGCAACTCAGCATTTGGTTGCATATTTATCATCAAAAACAGAAATTCGATCAAAGTACATATACATATGGAGATGCATATACATATGTGCGTGTGCGTACACGTGTTTTTCCTCTTTCTAAAAACCAGTCATTTAAAGAGATATATTGTGTCCAGAAATATGCTGATTTGGCACTAACAAGCGTATAATAGATTGTATGTCATTCTTCCAAGATATTAATTCCTAAATCTTTCCCCCTTAGTAAAGGGAAGGATTTTGCATCACATCCTATACTTCATAAATTCCAAAAAGGAGAAAAAAGAAAACTATGTTTTTGGTCTTGTTGCATGGACTACATTACAAAGATCTTACACGAAAAAGAATATCATAATTTTTCTACTTTCGCAAGTCTAGTGAGGCAGAGATTCAACTAATAATTCTATATAAAGGGAAAAACAGCAAAGGATTAGACCTGAATGATTGCTTGAACCAGAACAGAAGCTGCAGCAGAAACGCGTGATCTTGTTCATTTTTTGTTGGTTTGAAGTTTCCCTCCTTAATAGGACAGAAATCACAAATGGCAATTATCAAGTCTGCAGATTCTATGGTAAGTGGACTACTTACACTCCAAGGTAAATAAAGAAATGGCCCTCAATTATATTGTGACAATGAAATCCCCCAGTAATTCATAAAATTTTCAGGGGAACAACATGTCACGTCCAAAGTCAATTTCTTGGTTCCCAATTATTAATATTTACTAAATTAGAGAGGAATGTATATTGGCACATGCAGAGATACACTTGAAGAAATTAAAAGAAAAAAGCCAATTATACAGCCATTGCTTCATTCATCAATAAATATGATATGTTAAAAAGCATTGACTCAATCCTGGAAATTGCAAGATCAACCCGTCAGATCCCCACCTGTGCTGCTCCTCCCACTCTGTCCACATCAGACAGAATGCAGACGAGGCTCCCTGAGCCTCTACTTTTAGTATTTTCCCCTTCCTCATCTGGTTACTTTCCCCACAAATAGCATCATCTGGGATGATCAATGGCACACAATGAATATGAAAATAATATGCAATGAGTCTTAAGTCACCTAGTACTGCAGGAAGAGAAAAAAATTCAAGGTTGTAAGGTCCATCAGGAATATTGGATGGGAAACTATTTACTATTGAAGAGGCTGAGAACAACCAATTTCAGGGCTGCTCTTCAGTGCTGTGGATGGTAACCGATAGAAATTTAAGGAAGAGACCTAGATACCATGGCGCCACACTAAGTGTTAAAATTGCATTTTACAATCAAATAAAGAATCGAAAACCCTTTAAAAGTTTGATACTTGGATCTCCCTGACAAAGCAAAAGCATTACATGAGCTTATAAATCATCCTACCTTTCTATATGATGTTACCAAAAACAAGAGTAAATCTAAGACTTATTTATGAAGATTATGAAAACTACAGAAATCTCCTTGGGCTAGAAATTACTGAAGAAAACAGATACAAATATCAACTATATCAGACCCCAATATGGATTGACTAAGAGCTTATTTGGAATATAAGATATATCAAAATATATTGTATTTCCTTGAAAACATTCCTTTATATTTGCTTTCTCTATAATCTTTTATTCCCTGCATCAGTCTCTCATGGTTGGAGAAAACTTTAACTCGAATTTTGTCGTGTTAAAATACAACAATGGTTACTGACAACAAATAAAGTCATTGCATGGTATGAAACTTAAAACTTCTAGCTCTTCCTCACTATGGGAGTCACTTGGAGAAACTTTAGGATATTCATCTTTTCAGATTTTCCTTCAAAAACCTTCCGGAATGACAAAATCAACAATTGGAATAGGTTGAATTATCTACAGATTCTTATCGTCCTTCCATGCTTGAACAAGGCCTATTTGTCCACTTAGTTCACCCATTTTGATTCTACATGGCCTTCTTACTGCTTCAGCAACATTCTTGTACTTCAAGCTATTGACCATTATTCTCTACGGATCTAGTCTTGCTTCAACTTAAGTCTTTTCAAATATCATGAAGAGCAGCCTTTATTTCTGCAATAATAATGCTGTTTGCGCTTTATGCAGTCACTTACCTCAATTAACATCACATTGATGCTTTTCTCCTTTTGGTCATTACTTCAAAACTACCAGCAACTCTAACTTGATTAACTTCTTGAGAAATACACGGATCAACATGCAATAATTCTGTCTCATTAGCACCTCATATTCACCCTCTGCAGGTATATTAAGTGAAACTTCAGGCCAATTAGCACCTAATCGTCTTGCCTACAGTCTTAGAAAATCTTGGCCTAAACAGCCACATTAAACATGTAAAAACTATGGATTCCAGCAGCACTGTTGTAAGAAATGTTTAAGGATTAATCTCTTAAGATCTAACACAAAATTTTATTTTGGCCACTTGGATAGATAGAAGAGATAACGAAAAGGAAAGTATTAGGTTGTTACCAAAATATGAGAGGTATCCGGATAGATAGAAGAGATAACAAAAAGGAAAGCATTAGGTTATTACTGAAATATGAGAGGTATCGGATGTGTAAAGATTTAAACCATTAAAGAGACCAACAACGAACAATTTCAGGGCTGATTTTGGGATGTGAACAGTACCCCAAGAATAATATGGATCGGACTGCCCCATATCCAATAAGAATAATTATCCGATTCGAACTAATAATGCAACTCCATATCTGATTTGCTAGATTATCGGATATCCGATTAGATGATCAAATCTGAAATTGAAGAAACTAGGAAGATAAAAATTTGGGAAAAATTTATTTCTCCTATTTTATCTTTACCCTATTTCAAAAATAACAAAACAACTTTCACATTTCAAAAATCAGAAATTTTGACCTATACATACACATATATATAAATATTTATTTATATATATATAAATATAAATAAATAAATAAATA